GTGTTTAAATCATCATAGCTACGGTCGCAAACCAGGACGAAAACTACGTCCCTGGAAAAATACTAATAGGGGAACCCGTCAAATATCCGTACGAGATCGAGAAAATGCGCGATGCCACCTTATCACGTCGATGCTACTGCGGCTTTGAATTGTAAATGCTCTCACTGTGAACCGATTTCAGTCTGATTGCACACAAGTCATAAAAGTGGGGTACTATTTGGAAAATCCTGCAATTTAACACAAACACCTAACTTCAATCCATATGAATGAATGTTTCGAGTTTCAAGACCGATACTGTAATATGGTTTTAGAAGCTGCAGCGCGAAAAAATTAAGTGCCTTTACATCCTCTTTCAAACTAAGATTTCTGCGTGTTCGAAAGTTTGATAGGCAAACATATTAGCACTATTATACCATCACGGAGATACACCCTCATACAGATACAGACGTCGTCCGTTATCTATCTACGACAGATGAGTGGGGAGACAACATCTATCAGAGTGTAATGAAGTTCAGTAGGATCTTGTTGGTGGAGAGGCTACGTGATAGCGGTAGGTTAGCTCTAATTTTCAAATTAGTTTGCTTAAACTTTATTAAAAGTTATTGATCAACAACCAGATAGGACAAAGCATCAACGTATTACATCTGTTAAGCGATGATTGGTTACCTTTTCTCTTCAAGGCGATGCAGAAAACAGGTTTGTATTATTGCAATAAAGCGCAACAATCCGGTATGAAGAACGAGTCAAATACTTCTTCAAGACGTTGAATGGAAATAGTTGATCTTTTTCTCTCCTGTGTGATTTTGCTGTTTGGGAACCTGATTTTGCTATCCGGCTTTAGAAGATGCCGAACGAAAAAACAGTATTCGAGCCTATTTAAACACCAATTATTTAATGGATACTAAACTGAATGTATTTGAAATGAGTGAAAGCATTCTAATACTGCAAAACTAATTAATTAAAAAAAATATTATTATTATAAATGAATTGAAAATTAAATGAATTAAGTACGAAAGGCAGTAACCAAAAAATTAGCAATATCCCCATCGGTTGCATTGTGCCTTATATATTTATTCGTTGAGCAAAATAGCCCTTGCACATCTACATTATGTTATCATACAAAATACTATAGTAATCTTCCAGCACAAATATTGTATATTGCCCCGCCCTCCAGATCATAGGCAACACTTACTTCTATCACCCGCAGAAATGTCCAGAAACAAACTGCTAATCATTACATATAAGTAGTGATTGGAGAATCCCGGTTGGATGCCGGCATCCAGCACGAGCATTCTCTTCCCAAGCACGTGCACGCTGCACATGTTTAGGGCATGTGCACGGTCCGCAGCATCTTCCGCCATTGTCGTCGATCTAGTCTTCATTGATTCGATCGCAGTCATGAGCAGGTTTCACCCACCGGCTTCCATTAGAGGCTTCGTCCCATCACAGTTCCCCGGTCCGTCGGATCGCTGCTGTACGTTCTTTCACTGTCCCCTTTTGATTTTTTCTTTCCCCCACATGGGTGGCACAAACTCCATCGACAAAAGCTTAGACAGGCAGTTGATATCTTATCACCATTATCCGGGGCACAGATTCGACGGTAGACTCCCCGTCCAACACCAGCAGCAGCAGCAGAAACTTGTGACTCTCATTCGGCTGACACTCACCTCCTCCCCTTAGTTACCTCCGACACACCCCTGTATTACTCTGGGCAACACTCCGTCACCGCCTCACCAACAGCCCAATTCCCATTTCCACTCTTTCTTTACCGACGGCAGCAGCCCCAAAAGCTAACAGCTTTTCTAGTAGCACTGACTGTTCCCAAGAGCAGCAGCAGCAGTATTCGGGAATGCCCCAATCCCCAATTCTGCTTTCTACTGTGGGGTCCTGGCCCCGGCACCATTGCGGGTTGGCTCGACGGCCCATCGTATCCCTACGGCCTGAGCTGGCTTCCTTCGAACACTCTATTACCAACCAACCATATTGAGATAGCCGCTGCTAACGCTCCCGTTACCAATCCCGCCGCACTGGTGCAAGATTCTGTCCGTGTTCCCGCGAAATCCAAAGTTGTGATTGCCGGGAGAGGGTAACTCTCGCCGTTAGCGTTCACTTTATGAGACAACTTTAGTCGTCTCTCACTCGAACTACCGATGCTATTCCTAGTGGTCATAGCTTGTCAATTCCTCTCCTGCAAGTTCCTGCTACTAGCTAAAGAAGAAAAGTAACGAGACGAGATCAGCCAATGTTATCATCCCCTTTATGTGTGCACATGAATGATTTAGTTGATACCGGCGAGACTAGAACTAAAAAATAGCACAATCTGTTTTGAGATCGTAACGAAAACTAATAACTGTAATAATAATAGTTTCACTATTTTAACCAATCTAATTCTTATTCATTCTACACTCCATATTTACACTAGGGCAAAGAAAGCTACGGTTTGTGCTTAAATGGGGTTATTAACATTACACAAAGCAAAACGGTCGTCGAATTTTTACTATCAAGTTGATTTCGTCCTGAAGAACTGTGCCAGTCTGTGTGAATACGTATTTACGCGTAATTTTTGTATTTCAACAATCGGGAGAGGTACTACACTTTGTGGTAGACATCCTAACGCGAACTAAGGAACACATCATCATATACTGACTAAATCTTCTCAGTGAGATTCGGCCGCTATCCGGGCGTATCTGCCGCACCCTGCTAAACTTCCTCGCTGAAATGAAGAGATGTGGCAATTACTCAGTAGCTATGTTTCAATACTTTCCCTTTTTATTTAATGATGTATAGATATAATGCACTCTTCTAATGTTTGCTTCTTGATTGCATGAGTCGCTCCCAGTGAAATAGCTTCTATTCGGCCAACGATTTTCCTTCACTCCGTTGAACGATGTCCCTTCTTATATCATCCCTGATCGCGCAGTTAGCGGCCATATCAGCACTAGCAGTAACAGCCGCGACAGCCAAGCCCAGCTGGGTTCTAACCTTACTAACCGCCGCATAACAATCTCTTTTTGCCCAGCGGCGGCGGCGGCGGCGGCGGCGGCGGCGGCGGCGGCGGCGGCGGCGGTGGCGGCGGCACCCTCTTTGTAACCGCCGAACAATACTGCTCCTGACGCTTCCCATGGTCCCACAGCGGCCTCGATGCGCCCACTGAGAGAACGCCTCGGTCCTTTGGTCACTCTCCCCTTCAGGCACTCTCCCAGTCAGCCTCTTAGCGGGCGGTGGCCGCCCCCTCCTCTTTCTCCGACAGTGTCCTACCTTCTCTCCCAACGTTGCTTGCGCGAGGTTTGCCGCTCGCCAGCTTCCTAGTTTCTGTCAATTATCACCCAATTACCATCTCTTTCCACCAACATTGACTCTCCAACTAGGAACCTCTTTCCCGCCTGTTCTCCGCCGTTGGTGCCGCGGCGAACGGTACTCGCTATTACGATCGTCCGTAAGACTCCCAACCGGCGGTCCCGCTAGAGCGGAGTGGAACCAAATAGCAGAGCGCGCACACTGCAGGACAGCAAAAAGGTTTCGGTCCTAAATAGTGTCTGTTACCTCGTTTTAATAGAAGCTCTTCTGGACGGTCACGCGGTGGCTTCAGTGGTGCCGTCGTGAAGATCTAACAGTTGACAAATGATATTAGATTGCTTGTGAATTCTATGCTAATGTGGAATGTTTGTTTACATGGAAATGTGCAGATTGATTTAGACGTGCACTGGGACGGCAAAGTTTGCTAACAGTAACAACAACCTCGGTAATCCCGCATTCTGGGAAGCACTGGGTTTTACCAACCCAGGTTTAGTTTGTTTTGTAGTTAGTTCAGAAAAATCAGGCGCGTTTGTCGGGGACTGATCGACCTGCTAACTGTTGCGCCAAAAATCTACCTGCATCTAGCGGACACCAGCGTTCATGTCATTTATTGTATATAAATCATTTTTACGTAATATTCACTATTGCACGCATCAACGTAGATTTCCCTGAACTTCATTGTCTCATACCACAACGAGGTGCTTCATAATCCTAAGATAAGTGACATTCAGTCACGTCTGTCTTGATATACTGCCATAAATATGCAAGCGGGTTTGCTTTGCGTCACGCATACACAAAACAGACCGGACGGTGCAACTATTAAAAAATTATACTATATCTATTTACATAGTCAGCATTTGCGCGAACGCTACCCTCCCTACTCGCTCAGTGACAGCAATAGCATCTAGCGTGCCCGTACGTTAGTTAGTCAGTCACAACGCTGACGATTTTAGATTACCAGCGATTGTGTTTAGTTCGAGAAAACGATCAGACCAATTCGTCGCGCAAGCCCAATGATACAGCACGTTACGTTGAGCGTCGATTTCTCCTGCTTGTCTTCAGCTCTATAGGCCTATAGACGTTTCTCGTTACTACCGTTGCTAATTATAATACTACAACCTACTCCAGTGCGGTACACATAGAGCTCGTAGCCTCATTAGTCTGCGGCGGCCTGTCGCCGGCCGCGTACCGTACCGTAATATAACTGCTGCCATCCTATAGAGCTGCTCACGCGCTCTCACATAGATTCATATGATTGCGGAGCTCTTGCTGCCTACCGATGCGCCCCGTGCTTCTAGTAGCCTGCTAGCCGGTGCCCACTTGCCTTGATTGCTCCTTCTGACTCCACGCATCATCACGCACCGGCCGTGCTTCTGCTTCCGCCTGCAACTGCGCTGTAGCACGGCGGCTACGGCCACTCGTTTTTCGGTGGTGCTCGCTCCAAAGTGGCTAAACTCTGGGCGGAGCCTATAGGCGCCCGTTGTCATCCCAGCCGAGGCTGCGGCAGCAATCCGTGTCATCTCAACCGCCCCGGGACGGACCGATGCTCCGCCCTCTGCGCGCGAATCGGCGGCAGCGCCGCCGCTACCGCCACCGCCATCGTCAGCTAACCACTGCTGGGTTCCTGCGCCGAGCGCAGGCGAACCATCAGCGCGTTGCGATGATGGCGCGAAACGGCTGCCGTAAGAGCAGCAGTAGCCAGCGAGCTAAAGGCAGACAGACAGGCAGGGCGGTTAGTGAGCTGTGAGCACCACCAGCAGCGGCTATGATAACAGCGCTGAATGAGCGACAAACGGAGCACCGATGAAGACGTGCAGGGAGAACAGGCAGACTGCTGTGTAGCGAGTGGTGGAGCAACATCGCGCAACCAGTCGCGAGTAAGTAGCGGATGAGCGATCCACGATTCTGCTTACCCGGCTATTATCGACGACTAGCGACAGAGCGTCGGTAGAAGTACTGGACTAATAGATAGAGTGCGGAACAAACGTTGTGCGCTGGTGGCGGAGATTGGCGATATCTTTTGTGGCAACAAAACGCGCTGGTTCGACGCTGCGCCAGCAGAATCGCTGGTTTGTCCCTACTTGTTATTTTGGCGATAGTGCTGACAGAACCGGAGAGCTCCGCGATTGCTTCTGTTATTGGGCTGTTCGGCGTATTTGCTGATCTCGTCTGCTAACTGGGCGGCGAGAATCTTGGAAGAAGTACGCTGTTTACGAGTGCAACGAAGTTCAGGAGTGCAGTAAATCAGGGGGTGCAAGAAATCAGGAGTGCTGTGTATTCTATAATTGACGATAACAATAAGTTCAACGCAAGAAAGCCTCGTTGGTTCCTAACGCTGTCATAGCGTGTGCGTGTGTATGTGTATTTATCAGTATTCTAAAGTTCTGAAGAAGACTAGAATTTAGTCGGGGCAAGCGTGCTCAATTTAACAACGACACATGGTACGAAAACGGTTAAAAGTTAAAGCGAGTTTGGTGCAGCCTTTACGAATAGAAAAGCTAGAAGATTAATTCGAAGGCGAGTGCTTACAATTTCGAGTAGAAAGTGTAACCAGCCAATGAGGGCTGATGTCCTACTGTAGTTGTGAATCATAAAAGTTACTAGCTCAACATATATTCTTGTCATTTCTTTAATGAAGTGGTAACGGTTTTCGGCATCATTGTTGGCCTGTATACAGTGCTGCTGAAGGCTTAACAGCAACCGCCCTCATACCTCAACCGGTAGTTTAAGTAATTGAAAAAACACTCTGTTAAGAGACGGTAATCGGGGAAGCATTCACGCAACGTTTTCCACTATCAGCCATTTAATAGTACGCCCAAGCTGTTGGATTGAAGTGATTGAGAAGCCTGCTCCGGTGCGCAGATTCCCTTTCCTACGTCCGATCACCAAACCTCCAACAAAATTTTGACTAGACAAGTAGAGGGTGGGGCGTCAACAGCTGACGTTCTACGTCGGCTTCTGGATCTGATGGACTACCTAGCACCGCGGTCCATCATGATTCAGACGCAGTGCCTGCAGACGGCCACTAGCGGCACCAACAACAACAACAATAATAACAACAACCACACGTCGTCGAAATCATCGAAGATCTCATTTTCTGTGGCCTCGCTTTTGCGAGCATCGTCGCCCGCCGTCAAAGACGAACGTCCAGCATCGAGAGACTCCGCTGACCCCGATCATGATCACCTACCACCACGTCCTGATAGTCAAGAATACAAAGACTACAAGGAACGGGACACGAGCCAAGATGACGAGCCCGAACTTCACGTCGCCACTGACGACGACGAAGATCACGGCTCGCCGTCACCGTCACCCTGTGAGATGACCACCGACTCGAACGACCATGTTGATGACGCGCCGGCAACACCCATCAACCTCTCATCGAGTACCACGAACACAGTTACCCTGTTCGAAAACAGCCACGAGAGGCAAGCGGCATTCTCGGTCGATGGATTGCTGCGAGCACCTCACATTGGACAGATCGCGCAGCTTGATGCTGAGACCGCGGCAGCACTTCGTCTACCCGAGGGGTTTCCTGCAGCGATGCTGCCGCCACAACTAGCACCTTGGGCGGCACAGGCGGCCGCCCTCACCGCGGGCACGTTTCCTTGGCTACCACAGAGACCTTTCTCACCGAGTAAGTAATGCTTAAGACCTTATGTAAATGTAGGTAGCTTAAGTGTTAGGACACGTGATGGAGTAGTCTAGGTTCAAAACGGGCGTAAGCACACTTTCTTTCAGGAGGGGCCAGGAGGGGTGAGCGCCCCGAAAACTGTCAAGCATGTACGAAAAAGAAAGCAGCTTATTAAAACGAACGCATCTGTCGTGGATGCACCGATTTAGTAAACTACATTTGTAAGCTTGTGATACGAAGAAAAACTGTTAGAAATATATTTGTGACACCAACGCCTTACTCAATGAGGCTTACGATCTTAGAATGCAAAATCTTTGTGACTTGCAGTTGTAACTAGACAACACGATTTTCATTATTCTACACTGGTAGATTAATACAAAGAATTGATTAGGTCGTTCTATGAAATAGTTTTGTCGTCGCCACGCCATAAAAGAAAAGCACCTACTTAAAAAACACGCGGAACGTCCTGAAAGAGGTAGAACGACACATACAGATTTTTCTGCCGGTATAAACTCAAGTTTCTCCCGATGCACCAACAGCACTGCAGTGTCGCAGGCATAGGACGACTTCTAAGCGGGTTTGGATAAAGCCCGCAAGTCTTAGCTTAGTGGGTAACGTATTTGACCGCTAATTTCAAGGGCACGTCGTTGCTGGAAGCCAGCCATCTGCTGGAATGCTCGGACGTAAAATCTTGAAACATAGAGGTTAGGTTAAGAATAACAGTGGTCTCCATACGGGTCTACCTAGGACGTATATGGCAGCTCGTTTTGATAACATCTGAACGTATTTCGTACGAGCATTTCGCCTTTCTGCCTCTGTGGATTTATGAAAAGTTTAGCCTACCGAACTATACTGATCAATTATAATTGAAATTCCGACCAAACTATACAATTTTATTAAAGGTGAACGTTAGTCTAAATTTAATTAGATTCAACTATCAGAACAAAAACTGGCCTAGGAAAACGTATCTGCCAAACGAATATGTCGTGCATTTATATCGTATAAATAGATCATCTTTTCAACTTGTGAAATTTTAGTCAGTCGTAAACTTCCCAGAATCGTCACCAGGATTTGTGTCGTACCTCCTCTGCCCTTTTATACATCACAATTATCCACCGTAAATAGATTTGTTAATCTGTCGGATAGAGTCGAGGAAACGCGGACGTATTTCATATGCGTATTCTGGATACCCTTAAGTTTTTAGTTTATCTCAACAACTAATGATAAGATACTGCTGCAAGAGTTTCCCCACGTTTACGAAATGTTTTTAGTAAGATAACCTTATAAATCTCTACGGATTGTCGTCTTCATCTCTACTTGTTAAGTGCTTTATTGATTGGCGCCAGTACCATGGTGTACTCCACCATGCGACCTGCAAAACCCATAATGGGACCATAAGCTCGTTTAAGCAATTGGAATACTGTATTACACAGCTGAATATGAATATCGTTAATTTTTGCCATCGAAAAAATAACCCTACAATCTTTTGCATAGAAACGCCATGGAGGTCAGCTCGGTATCCCATACTCTAGATACTTATGTCTGTTTCTGGATCAGCAATGTCTGCGCTGTATAACGCTATTCACCACCCGCGACGCCTACCGTTAATACCGTAAAAGATCTGCGAAACAATTTTTTCTATTTGTAACTGACCACATACAACATCTATGCCTAGAACAGAACGTCCATGGCAAATGTCCAAAGCCGTGTATCAACGAAGCTAACCGATTTAATGATTTACTGGTAAACATTTACGTTTTCGCGCACCCGCCGACTCGTAGTCACTCTTCCAATAGTCAACCTAAATGACTACGCAATACTTGTCAGTTCTGGTTCTTTTTCCCTTCATTTTCGGCCCATTAGAACCAACCTTGATAGCTATAGTAGGGAAGCCTCAACAACCTGCTAACACCCAACGAATCACGATGTAGTGGTCACCCAGATAGTTTCAGATGAAAGATTGCCGTTAAGAATGAAACGTATGCGATAATTGAGGGAGCGTTTCCGGTTGTTACTAGCTATCTCGAATGAGGGGGCATACTTTCTTATAACGTGATGCTAACAGCTGATCAGTACGTTACGTTGTGTGACATGATGACAGACCGACGTGTGCGGGCACTCTTATCGATTCGGTACTTTGCCAAAATTTCTTCATAAAATTGAAATATGTATCTGCAATTTGATATACATGATATCTCAATCATCGGAACCATTGTTGAATGGAGCGCCGATGTAAACACCTATTGTGCAGTGACAACAACGGCAACACGATGAAATTTACTAAGTCAGTTTATAATTCTTCCTCGTACTTACCAACCTTGTCGTTATGGAAAACACAGTATGGAATCGATTAGCCAATACCTACTGGATTCGACTGGAGTCCGACACAGCATCAAATAGCGATCTGCTAGTGGCGGAACGATCTTACTAGATATGAACGCGATGGGCACGAGGCTGCACGTTACATGCATACGACGGGCCGAAGACAATGATAGCTGCTTTCCCAATTGGGTGCACATGTTTAATTTCTGCTAAAGATACCATGTTGATTGATGAAAAATGTACTTCTACCACCTACCAAAAGCCAACTAACTTCGAAATATTTATTGTCTATCCGTAGATTTCTATATTTGGGTATTAATCATAAATGAAATACGCGCACAAACCTGTACCCGTACAATACGAGTCGGAGAACACACAAATTCTCCTAACATTTACCATCTATAAAGGGTTTCCGGTTTGAATTATCAAATGGGCACTTTTTCAATGTATTGTTTATTATGATTATTATTCCATGATTTCTTCTGCTGTTTCGGTTCTGACCGCTGTTAGCAACAAGAGTGAGCATGACCGGGGATTGGACTACCGCTGTGATTTAACGATGATGTCTTCTTAAACCTCTTCGCAACCGCCGCGAACAACGCAGAAAGATCGCCAGATGAAGAGATGATACTGAAGAAGGTGCCTGTGCGCGCCCAACAAAAGAAACATGATAAGAAGCCAACATGGATCAGCCATACTCGAGTGCCAAGAGGAGGTAAGAGTTAAATGAGCAGACAAATAGTGATTTGCATCGCGGCCAGCTGATTGTCGTTGACCAACTTTTGTCTTCTTTTGCTGCACAAACAAGTGGCACTCCTCGGCTCTCTGAGGCAGCGACCGCGGTGCGGGTAAGCGAGAAAAGCAGACAACTGGAGAGGATTTTTAGCCGCCAACGCGGCTGGCAGAACGCACGCGTATGCTCACGTCAGACGCGAGCACGCTCATCCGTGGAGAAGAGGCTTCTTTCTCGGTTTTAAAAAGAAGAGCAAGTGAGATTTCGGGGGAAGACTGTACAGCAAGCGACAGAATGCGAAACCAGGCGGAGGAAAACGAAGATGGAGAGAATTTGATATGTTTTTAAATGCTCATTTATCACCGTTCAAACGAGCTGCAAGCGTATGTACAGGTAGCACCGTCTGCACAGAAGGGAGATGGTACGAGAAAGTACCAACTTAAGCGCTACAGTCACCTGCGCCACGCGACGTCGTCCAATGGCCGATACAGAAATAGCACCCGTAAAGTGTCCCCAGTAGGGAACGCCAGGCGCCCATGGACGAATTACGTTTAGACGTGCGCCGTAACCACAGTTGCTGGCGTTGAAGCTATCGTCCTGCCCGAAAACACCGAGCAATAGTAGGGAATAGAGGCTGCGCAGAATTAACGCGCCAACCTCCAACAATAATCGAGCGTTGGACCGATCATACTGTTACCTTACGGCGGAGCAATTTGTTAGTCCTTCTATATTATGTAGCTGTTACGAAGGGCACAATATGGCTAGGACTGGGGTCGGGAGAACTTTAACGAGGTTGTGTTGCACTTGGGTTCATCCGTGAGCCGGCGCAGCCATTGGCAATATTGAGTTGTTCCATAGAATGGTGTACCACACATATGATGTCGTGCATGTTTTTGTTTCGTCGACAATAACGTCAGTCTATAGCTTGACTCTCTTCGGCATTGTAGGATTGATTGTGGCGAGAAATGGGAGATGTAAAACGATCATTATGTAGATTTAAAAATCAAATAGGTACCGACTGGCGTCCTAACCGATGGCCAGTACATAAAGTTTAATAGACAGATTAATGACAAATTGGACAAGGAAATTATAAATAAACAATTATGTTGACGGATGCGACAGGATATTGAAATAGAAACGATTAAACGTAGGTAGGTTGACATAAATGTGGCAACAACAATTCAATCTTCCACCCAGCAGTTCACCGAACGGGAAAGGCCAATATTCGATTCATAAACAAGGATTAAAAAAAAAAACAGTCTATCGATTGGTGGCTGAAGACCAGATGTTAAATCTATCATACGTTGCTGCACCGACAGCGGAGTGGCTTCTTAATACGAGAAGATCATAGAAACAAAGTAGCATTATAGCATGCTTCGTTTCCAGAAAACAGCGCAAATCAAATTGGTTTAGTAAGAAAAACAACGGTATATGATATCCGTTAACAATCAAAGACTGGCGACATGTCTAAGAGTTTATGTTGCAACTTGAATGCATGGTAAACATAACTACCTTGGTACTACCGCAGTTGTAACTTGCCCCCAATTAGAAACACATGAAGCGTGTTGTTTATGTATTGAGCTCTGCGAGATTTTTACAAATTCAAAGTTGAAGTTAGTGTTCCCGAAGCTATAGGGATTATTACCGTGTTAAGTGGAACAGTCGTACGTACAACCTGCGACTTTATTTGCCTTATTTATTATTACTTTATTTGCTTAAATAACAAGAAAACAACGAGGCATAAGGTCAGTTCTAGGTTTCGTTGACGATTTCAGTGGTGACAAATTACTATATCTACGTGCAAAGAAGTTAGCTTTTTTTAACAATATGCAAAGAACAAAGCATTTATTAAATAGAAAAACATTAATAACTTTTTGTGTTTGTTTCTGCAAGTAGGTTAACTTATTCCTCTGAGAAAATACTGTACTTTTACAAACTAAAAAAACTC